ACGGTTTCGATTTTAAGTTTTTCTTGCTTCCCTTCGACTCCGATTTTCTCAGCAATTGATGCGTCTAAAAGTGTGGCCGTTGACCCTTCGTCTATTAGTGCTAATACGCGAACTTGTCCTTTTGGGCCATAGAGGTTCACTGGGATCATCTTCAGGTAGGCCTTTTCTTCTCCTTTGGCGTTGTGAATTGAGGCGACCTTTTCTTCTGATGTGCTACTGATATCTTTTGCTTCTTTTTCTATTGGTGCTGGTGGTTTGTCAGAATGTAAGATGGTATGATGCCATCTTTTACACAGCTTGCAGACTGGGGCTTTGCAGTTGATCCTTGAGTGCTTGAATCGAAGGCACTTGAAGCATATCTTTGCCTTCTTGGTCATATCCCATTTCCCATTAAGGTTGGCTTCTTTGAACTTCTTGCATTCTAGTGCGAAGTGTTCTTCATCACAGAACGGACATGACTTCTTATATTTTTCTTTTGACGCTTCTTGTACCAAATGGACGGGTTTTCTTATTCCTCTTCTTTGTTCTAAGGATGCTTCAGGTGGAGCGAAGTACATGTCCGCACATGTCGGTTTCTGTTTCTAGGAACGCTTCCACGAGTAATAGCTCCTGAATTTCCGCATCTCTTCTGCTCCTGTGGTAGGCGAAAAAACGAAACTTCATTGATGTCGGCATCTTGTCTACTATAACTCTCAGTGTTTCAGGTGAACTGAGATACTGTGGTTTCTTCAGGGCTTTGATTGTCTCAACTGCGTTCTTTACTTTGCTCGCAAATATGCATATGTCGCTTGGGTTCTCGCCGACTCTTGAGAGGTTCTTCATTTTTTCTAGTTCTGCTAATGCCAGTGCTCCAGGTCTTCCGAATCTTGCTTCTAGTCCCTTGATTATTTCGCGTGGGTCTTCGGCGGTGAACAGTAGGCTTTGGACGGCTTCTCTAGCTTTTCCTTGGATCGCTATTCTAAGGCGCGCTAGGTTCTGATTGTTACTGAAAGAAGCGGCCATATCCTCGTATCATCTCTTGAAGGCTAACCATTCTTCACAGGCCCCGTTGAAGTGAGGGAGTTCGAGGTGCTTTGGTGAAACGGTGTCACGTGATTTTTCGGATAGCTTGAGTATGACTGAAGCTAGTTCCTGGATGTCACTCTTCTTTTCTTCTTCCTCTATTGGTTTGTGGTTCTTATTAGGCATGTCTCTGGTCTGGATGAACCACCGCTCGACTTCTCGAGTTCGTTCGAACAGTTCTCCGGCACCATCTTCTTCTTCTGACTCCGCGGTGAGAAGTTCTAGTTCCGCTTGAGCAACTTTTGACCGGGCTTCTGTTCAGTTCTAGTTCCCTTAATTCCATTGTTTTTTACTTGCGCTTCTGCTCTCTTCCTATGCGACGAGCGAACGGAAAGTGTGTCTGGATCGCGGGTCGTCTTCTTAGGGTGAGGCTGCTGCAGACTTTTTTCTCTGGACGTTGGTATGCTTCCCTCGTTCAGACATGTCTTCACTGCGATACTTCTTTCTTGAATCTGCGGCGTTGGATGACTCTCTTCTTGGTGAGGAACTGACGCTTCGACGGTGCGAGTCGGGGGGGGGGGTGGTATGGGTTACGTCCCCCGGTGTTGATTCCTTTCCGGCAATGTTCTTAGTAAGAAGTACGGGTTGTCTGTGTACGCTACTGGGCGATGATCTTGTAAGCGTCGATCGATCTGATGTTGACGCGTTCGTATTCGTCGTGCTTGTGGATTCACTCGGCGTATTTATACTCCAATCCGTCGTACTGGTACCCGTAGTAGTGTTACTTTCACTCGTAGTCTTCGACTGTACTGATTTTGATCTTGTATTTGAAGGCATCTTCCTAGTTTTTCCTTAAACCCGATCCGGCTTTTCGAAGGACCAATGTTGATGTTCGTGTGTGAGAATGTTAGTAATGGAGCGGGTTATGCTGGCGGGATGTTAACTGGAGAGCATGCAGTAGCAGTTAGATGAGCAATAAATAACACTTCTTCAGAGTTTCTTCTATTTATTTTCTTGATGCTTTATTCTTACATTGCCGGATTTGGAATGTTTTATCACAAAAAACGCCTTTTTTATAAGCAGCTGTGACCAATCAGAATTAATAGAATTTGCACACGGCACTAATGAATTTGCACACGGCACTAATGATTCCCGTCGTCCAATCAGAGCGCAGAACGACCTTTTCTAAAGGAAATTTACAAATTTCTTTAATATGTGTGGTAAAACATACCTTACAATATTTTTATACATTCCTGACAATAGAGATAACTTATCTTTACTATTTCGAACATTAAACATTCATAAAACTCTTAATTTATGCTTGTAAAAAATAAAAATAGTGGCGCGATCTTCCTACGGTTTAGCTCCGGAGTAGCTAAGCTTTTTCCGCTTAAATATTTGATACCAGTTTAGAGAAGCATTATTCAGGGTTTCATAACTAAAAAAAAGTTGGAAAAAGTAAAGATTTGTGGCAACAGGAGTGAAAAGACTGTCACAGGATGTGAATTTTTTTCGTTTTTTTTAAATGTCTATAATAATTTTACAACTGCCCTTTCACGCGGTTCCGGGTTGACGTCGAGTTTTGGGACAACCTGTATATATTATTTATGTATATACACACCCCAATTAGTATATTATGTTATAATCATAACACATACACTGAATTTTTAGTTAAACATTTTTATGCACTGATTATTTATCAAATCAGTTATACTAATTCCGGAAGAATGTTGTGGTCACAGTACAAATCCACGAACGCAAAGACTTTAACGTGCTTGACTTGACTTGACTTTAAATAAAGTTCATTTTTCTTTATTTTTACTGAATGACAGAATTAGTAAATAATACAAATAAAACTGCACTTCTAAAAGTCTTATTGCCTTAAGTTACGGTCCATTTCAGTTTGTTTTGACTGTACAGATTTAGTGTGACTGTAATTTACGTAGTTTTAATTATTTTTGGGATAAAAAAATTACCTATATTAAAAATTATATATATATATATATATATATATATATATATACATATATATATATATATATATATATATATATATATATATGCACAATGCTTATCATGATAATATTATGCTTAAGATTATATACAGAATATATTTTAACTTCTTATTAAATTGAATTCTATTTTTATAACGAGAAATTAGATTACAAAAGTGATTAATTGACATATTATCGTTTTAAATTACTACAAAAGAAAAAGAATCGAACAAATCATTAAATTTATACTTAAATATTAATATCTCTAATACAGCTCTTTAAAATTATAATAAGAGAAAGTTCTAATAAGTAACTAAACTCATATTTCGTTTCCAACATTCTAATTAAACCTAAATAAGCAATTAGATACATATTTTCGTTACAGACTTTGTTACTAACTTTCGTTACGTAGTTTTGAAATAAGAATTGAAGCTAATATAAGTAATTAATTTACTTTCTTGGTATTAACGCTATCAGTCTTTACACTTAGCTTTCACAAAAATCACAAATAAGAAACAATCGAGATTAAATGTTTAAATTCACTTGTCGTCGCTAACAGCGGACTTTCTGTGGTAACAAAGTGCTGTCAGTAAAGAGTAAAAAAATAAGTACCTATTCTGACTATGATCGATTTACCATATTTTCGCACCTATGTGAGTTCTTTGATGCCCAACGCATGCCACTTGCAAAGTCCTTCGTCGGGTATCGCGATGACTTGGCTCGGAAGAATTAGGTAGATAGTGTAAACGACAAATAAACCTGAAATAAGATTCCTAACAGAAATGTGATCGTATTCTACTTAGTTAAAATCTTGTTACTAAACAAAGTTTTAATTTCAGTATTTTTTGTTATTATAACTTAAAATATTTTAATTACAAAAGACAAGTATAGATATATAAGTAGATACTTGGATAGTGAAGTAAGTTTCAACTAAGTTTTGTAATAAATTACTTTGGTATGTCTTCTGTAGATCAATTATTACTTAATTCTGTTTTGTTAAAAGTACATATCTAACTAAAAGAAATGAAATAAATGTAGTACCTTTCATAACTTCCCACTAAAATCTCTCGGTAACTTAAAGAATGATATATATGTAACCTTTTGTTGATTATTTAGCATCCATCCACGCAATAATTATAGTAGGAACGACGTTTGCCGTTATAATTTATGAAATAGGTAGGTAATGTACATAACACAATATATAATTTTTAAATTACATTTTAAAATTTTCAACTATTTTATCTTAGAATTAAATATACTAAACACTAAATAAAAACTATTTCAACAAGTATCATACATGTGCAAACAGTATTAAAAAAAAACTATTTACGTAAACAGCGTTTAAAATCTTTAACATTCAACCGCGCCTAGAATACGCTAGCCGCAGGTAGGTCTTGGTACGCAGGTAGCAAGAGTGGCAGAAAGCTGTTAGTACAAAGACCTAATTTGAATTACTAATCTATTCTAGAAAGATAATTCGAAAACTATTGGTTGGGTAAGGGACAGACGTATAACAGGACGTATATATGACCCGGTAGCGGTCTTGACACGAGCAATCCTCATTGCTCCACCGGGTCCAGCAAAAACCTCTTCAACGATACCTAATGGCCAATGAAGAGCGGCGCATTCTCTTTAGTGAGAATTACTACAGTTCCGACTGTTAATGGATTAGCTGCTGCTGTGTACCATTTCTGCCGTGACTGCAGCATATGCGGATATCCCGTCCTCCCAACGCTTCCAAAATGACTGCTTGTTCTAATAACTTATGACGTGAAAGAACATAGCGTTTATCATCGTCTATATCTATAGCGGCTAAGTACTTCAAAGGCGTAAGATTAAAAAAATGTGCTGGAGTTAGAGTTAGTGGTTTCGTGGGGTTAATTCTTCAAAACGACTTCAGATTTTTAATATGCTTATAATGTGCATATTATATATTTTTTTAAAAGAATAAAAAAAATCGAATTCTTTTGAAATGACAAGTAATTAAACTTTTAAACTCTTCAGGTTGGTGGAAGAAGCTTGAGGAGAACACGGGGGATGTGATGGCGGTTTTAGAAAATAAACAAACAGACCAAGACGTAAATGTAGAAAATTATATTGATGCTCACATTTTAAGGTACTTAATACAAAAATTTAAACTACAATCTTAGTAAATTCTCAACTATTACTTATAAGCTGCAGAGAGAAATGAGGCTACTCGAGAACCTTGCTTTCCCATCGGTTGTTGGTTCATCGAACTATATAGCCTACCCATTGCCACTACATAAGCTAGTTTTATCCATTTCTACTTACTACGATTCGGCAACTTATCCATGTATTATACATATAAACCTTCGTTTCGAATCATTCTGTCTATTGATGAAAACCGCGTCGAAATTCGTTGCGTGCTTTGTGCGTTTGCGCGCCGCACGCTTGACTTGGGGAGTAAGGGAGTAAGCTGGCGAACGCGTGACGAAAGCGTTACGAAAAGTGTGATCGGGCGTGGCGAACGGGAGTTGAGTGGAGGATATAAGCAAAATAGAGCAGTGCGCGCGCACATTTTCTTTCTCTCTTTCTCTCATAGCCAGTTATTTTTCGTAATTTTATTTTGTTTTGTACAATTTTATGAATTAATATTTTGTTCAATACATTATATATTGTACGTTTTAAGTGAATAAAAAAAATTGTAAATTCATTTTAAAACTCATGTTTTATGAATTTTCGTGTGAATAATAAAAAAATATTGATAATAAATCTAAATGTTTGTAGAAACATATATATATATATATATATATAGAGATCTCTTTACGGTAAATGTTGATCAGACGCGACTTCACGCGAGCACTTTGTTGATCCGAAAACGCATGTTGATCCGGCGCCTTTTGTTGATACAATATGCATCTCTGGTAACTAATGTGGCTCCGACCGGATCAACATCTGCACTCAAGAGACTGTTTGCTAGCGTTGGCCGAAGTTGATCCGATATACAAATCCACCTTGCGATGGTTACGGAAAATGTTGATCCGATTTAAATGAGCCAATCAGAGCACAGCAAACGATAAGATAAACGATCAGATTGGCTGTATGCAGCCGCGACGTTGCCGTTTCGTATCTTTGGCGGTACAAGCTACAGATTAAATGCGTGTTATGTAATGCATTCAGGGTGCTGTTTGGTCTACCTCGTTATTGTAATGCGCCGGGTATGTTCGCGGATACGCGTGTGGATTGTTTCTACACCACCATGCGTAAACGATGCACATCCCTGGTGCGTAGGGTGCAGGCCAGTTCCAATGGTATCCTGAGGGCATTTTCTGACAGGTTTGAAGTCAGTACCTGAACCATTGTCATATGATGCACATGCTGACTAATCGGGCCTGTCTTATATATAGTTTTAAAATTAGGTAAATAGTTTTAAGTTTGTATTATTACTAACATTTATGATCCTTGTGGTCGAAATAAACGACTTTTTAACGAATTACTCGACAACGCCCCTTCTTGTAGCAGAAGTGGTGGCAACGACGACATAAGGTATTCGTCTGAGTGCGTGTTTGCGTGTGCGTGCGTGCGTGTTTTTTTTGTGTTGTGTGTGTGTGTGTGTGTGTGTGTGTGTTTGTGTGCATATTTGTGTGCGCGCGTGTGTGTGTATGTGTGTGTTTGTGTGCATATGTGTGCGTGTGAGTTTGTGTAAGGGTGTGTGTGGGTGTGTGTGTTATTGTGTGTGGGTGTGTGTAAATGGGTGTGCGTGTGTGCATGTGTGCACTGTTGTGTTTGTGTGTGTGCGTGTGTGTGCGGCAGTGTGCGTGTGTGAGTGTGTGTGTGTATGCGTTTGTGCGTGTGCGCATTGTGCATGTTTGCGCGCGCTTGCGTGTGTTCGTGTGTGTGTGCGTGCGTGCGTGCGTGCGTGCGTGCGTGCGTGCCGTGCGTGCGTGCGTGCGTGCGTGCGTGCGTGTGCGTGCGTGCGTGCGTGCGTGCGTGTGGTGCGTGCGTGCGTGCGTGCGTGCGTGCGTGCGTGCGTGCGTGTGTGTGTGTGTGTGTGTGTGTGTGCTTACCATAAACCAGTTAACATGTTTTCTACATCTTCATAATCAAGATTTTTAAGGACGCGTTTACAAAATTGATAGGTATAGAATCGAACTATTACGAGTACATGAGATATTATCATGAGACCTTACCTCCGGTCTTGATGGAGTGACCTCAAAATGTAATTCGGGATTACTAGTGGAACTCTTGGACTAGTAGAACTGGGTGTGCTGAGTTTGGGCTCGTTTTGTTAGTTATGATGAGTCCTTACCTCCGGACTTGCTGAAGTGACCTGAAGGTGTACTTCGGTAACTAACACTGCAACACCTGGACTAGTAGAACTAGGTATGCCGAGTTTGGGTTTGCTTTGTTAGTTATGATGAAACCGTCACAAAACAAAAGTTCTTTTCACTTTGTCTCTAGTACCAATAGGCATCCAAGCTGATATTGGGAAAAATGAATAACCTCGTAGTAACATCGTTAGGGGCAGTATCGATATCCACTTACCAGCCACACTGTTTTTCGCTGTAACCAACTGTCCTTTATATGAGCCTCACTTGCCCTCACGCGGTAACCACTTTACTGCACTCCAGTGCACCCACCAACACCTCTGCCACCTACGCCTCCACATCTATCACCGCACCCCTCTCTAAGTTTTCGTTCTCCACCTCCGCTACCTCCGCCTCCACCATAAACTCTGCTCCATCCGCCTCAACAATAAACTCCGCTCCCTCCGCCGCCACCACCACGCGCCGTCACTAGCTCAGCTCTTCCGTCTTCACCACATACTACGCACATACACCCACACGCACGCGTACACACAAACTCGCATAAAAACACACACATACACACACACACACACACACACACACAACAACACACGCAAACACACATGCAAACACACGCGCGCAAACTAAATGGCACCCCCCACCCTTACACACACACACACACACACACACACACACACACACTCACACTCACACATACACACATACTCACACTCACACATACACACACACACATACACACACACACACACACACACACACACACACACACACACACACACACACACACACCTCGAGTGACAAATTAATTTGTAATAAAGTACTATCCATCATCTTCTAATTGATCTATGAAAAATGAATAAAATAACACAAATTCACTCACACGATAACAGAAACTCGAACAAACGTCTTTCCGCAATAAAACCTGCCAAAGTTTGATCCACAAAATCAGCAGATAACGTATTTTCTTACCTTATTACTATAAGGAAGTAGCCTACTGGGTTCTCTGTCACACACAGAACGCGACGTTGCCGCTTCATGTTAGAGTACCTATTCGTCAATTATGGCTCCGGATCCACTTAGTCTAAGTAAATGTCGTATATAAATTAAATATCCTCTGGATCTAAAAAATCATATTCAGTATGATTTTTTCGACCATTGATAGATCAACAAATGTTGGTCAAATCGCTGACGAGTATATTGAAATCCTGTTAGTGCAGATCCACCGACGTCACACGCGCATCAAGAATGGATCAAAGTATATCAGTTTGTGCGACGAGGAGCTGAGCAAACACGTCAAATAGGTGGTTATACAATTGTTCTAACTTCTCAATGGATCAACATTTACCGTCAAAGGACGATTATATATATATGGTGGTCCAAACAGTGAGGTATATATATTTTTTTTTTTGATTCCTCACACCTAGGGGTATCCGAAAATACCCTATGTATGTTACGCGATTTTTTGTAGTTTTCGAGTTATGATTTTTTTTGCCCTTTTTTGAAAATATTCACCCTAAACAGCTTAACATTAAAAAAAATGTAATTGCGAAATTTTTTCCAAGTTTTTTTGTTTGTAGCATAATCCTTATGAGTTGCCCTATTATGCATAAAATAATTAGCTTCCTAACATTCACCGAAGATACAATAATTTTAAACGAAACTTAAAAATTTTCTGTCAGGAGAGTGGGGCTTGAATTTTCAACATTAAATGAAAAATAGTAATAAATGATTTCATACTTTCTAATTAATAAAATGGCAGTACTTTTTATACATTAAAAAAATGACACTTAATAGGCCAGTTTTTCTGTTACAGACTTCTGAAGTCACTCAGGCAGGAAACTACCTGAATAGTTAATTTGATTTAAAAAAATCTTTTTATCATTTCTAGGGCTAAACTAAGATAGTAAATGCTTCAGGTTAGCAAAAATAACATCAAGTGTCTTTACTTATTGTTTAAAATTTATAGACAACAAAATATCATTTTACTACGTTCTGGACAAATGATTTCAAGATTCATAATAAAAGTACTAAATAATTTAAGATAAATTTATTTAAAGTAAATTTTCGAAATGGCGGCCATTAACTTCGATACACAGTCTACATCGTCTTAAAAAATTTGCTTTTAGTCTTCGAAAAGTATTCGTATTTTCTTTGATTTTTTCTGCGCACTGTCTCAATTTTTCCCTTAATTCATTTTCCGAAATAATTTTTCTAGCATACACCATCTCTTTGTAGAATCCCCAAATAAAAAAAATCTATAGGGTTTAAATCTAATGAGTGCAGGCCATTCGATTGGCCCTGCACGCCCAATCCACCTTCCTGGGAAACTTCTGTTGAGGTGCTCCCTCACTTGTCTTTCAAAATGGCAAGGAGCACCGTCATTTTGAAATATCATATCCCTCCTCGTTTGTAAATTAACTTCAAACAATAAACCATTTAAATTATTTTGTAGAAAATTCAGGTACTGGGACCCGTTCAACCTAGACGACAATTCAAAGGGCCCAACCATTTCTCCATTTATGACTCCTGACCACATGTTGATACTAAATCTATTCTGAAAATTTGACTGCCTTGCTTTTTTTGGGTTTTCAATGGCCCAGCTATGATGATTGTGAATGTTAAAGACGCCAGTCCTTTCAAACCGGGATTCATCCGTCCAGAGTATCTTGTTAAAAAAATCCGGGTCTTCCGCAGATCTTTCCAGCATTATTTGGCAGAAAGCAACACGCCTTGGATAGTCTGCGTCGTTAAGTTGTTGAACACGCTGAATATGAAACGCGTGATATCCCTCTGGAAAAAAAGATTAGTATTTTTATTGTAGGTTGTCATTGTACACAATACTAGAGGTACGTACCAATAGAGCACGCGAACGTGAAACTAAAAGTTGGGATTCGCTAGAGTGGCGTCCTAGCGCCTATTTTTAAATTACGAGCGCTTGTTTAAGGGTCTCTACATCTCTCTCTTTTACACGCACACACAACACATTAGACATCGACAATTCACAGTAAATTAAATGAGTGTGATTTGAAATGGCAGTGCAGCAATGCGTTGGGATTTTGAATAAAGAGGTCTACAAAATAATGAAATGCACTCACCTGATTTCAGTATTCTTAAAACTGAAGTCGTTGGGATTCCAGTCCTTCTCGTAATCGCTCGTGAACTAGTAGAAGGGTCTCTTTCTACTTCTTCAATGATTACATCTCTTCTTTCTGGATCCACTCTGGGTAGTCCCTCGTGACGTTGATTACGCCCAGGAACGCGTCCAGCCATCAGGGTTTCGTGGGTCTTATTAAAAACCCTGTAGCCCGGGTAATGCTCTAACACTTCTCCTCGCCGCTCTAGTTGCTCTCGATAAAGCCGTGCCGCTAATGCACCGTTTCCTTGGGCAACGCCGTAGAAATAGTGCATCTCTGCGTATTGACTGAGAGAATAACTCATTGCTAAAAGTAATCCAAATCACTAAGCAACTCAAGGTCCATAAAACAAGCACAGGTCAATCGTAAAGCAAATCAAGAATCCGGGAAACAAAGCGAAGGTAGTCAAATAAGAGATCCAAATAAACGTAAACGTGATTCCTACGCGGGCCCCGTCTTTGCCCACGCAAACCCTAATATTTTAAATGAACTCCAAATAGTTCAGAACCTCTTCTGTCGTCGAGCTGCGAACGCACCTTGGTACGTCCGTAATGCCGACCTTCATCGGGACTTAGAGCTCCCAACAATTCAACAATTCCTTAAAAAACTCTCTGAGAACTTCTTCAAAGCCTCAGAGTCGCACCCAAACAATTTAATTCGTGAGGCGGCTTCTTATGCAGCCCCACCCCTATCTCGCTATCGTGTCCGCAGGCCGAGAAACTCTCTCTCGGACCCGCCTAATAAACTGTCAAACGACCTGAACTGCCTCCTGGCGGCTCAGGCCAACTCTAATTAGTTTAAATTATTGTATTAACCAACATTAATTTGCCTTCGTAGGCACTCCCTCAGCGGCTCTTAGCCGCCTGCGCCCTCTTTTCCCAAAAGAGGGTCGCTCATGATAAGGCACAATAGAGCTTAATCAGCCGGCTGCCTGTCCCCAAAGGCGGTTTTTAGAGGGTATCACTTAGGGTCCCCGGTAGGACAGTGAGCCCCTCATAACCACGATAGACCGGCTATCGTGGTATGCGTAATGCATTTTCCGCCTCCCTACGTATAGGGTAGCCCTTTAATTGCTTCGGGCGCAAAAAAAAAAACGTAAACGTGAGTAGTGGTTGCACGCGGGAAAGCAGTGAACGACTGGCGGGACCGAGCGAGGTGAAAAAGGGACGCGGTCGGTGTGGTGCGGGGCGCGGGGTGCGGCCTGGTAACAAAATAGAGCGCAAAGCAGGAATGTTTACCTGAGCCTTTGTATAAAATTCCTTTGTGTGTTTGTGACTGAATGTGCTATCATTTAGTTTCAGTGAAATAAAAAAAACATGTAGTTTGTAGTAAAATGATACCTTAATAAATGTCACGTTTTAACAATAAGTAGTTTTCTTTGCTAACCTGAAGCATTTACTATCTTAGTTTAGCCCTAGAAATGATAAAAAGATTTTTTAAATCAAATTAACTATTTAGGTAGTTTCCTTCCTGAGTAACTTCAGAAGTCTGTAACAGAAAAACTGGCCTAATAAGTGTCATTTTTTTAATGTTATTATGAAAGATTAAGGTACTGCAAAGTTTTTAAAATTAATTAGAAAGTATGAAATCATTTATTACTATTTTTCATTTAATGTTGAAAATTCAAGCCCCACTCTCCTGACAGAAAATTTTTAAGTTTCGTTTAAAATTATTGTATCTTCGGTGAATGTTAGGAAGCTAATTATTTTATGCATAATAGGGCAACTCATAAGGATTATGCTACAAACAAAAAACTTGGAAAAATTTCACAATTACATTTTTTTTAATGTTAAGCTGTTTAGGTTGAATATTTTCAAAAAAAAGGGTAAAAAAATCATAACTCGAAAACTACAAAAAATGGCGTAACATACATAGGGTATTTTCGGATACCCCTAGGTGTGAGGAATCAAAAAAAAAATTTATAACCTCACTGTTTGGACCACCCTGTATATGATATAATCTAAAGAATTTTTACTTCAGTCGTGTGGTCAAAAGAACACTTGTTTTTTTATGATTATTTTGATGTTAATAGAAAGTTAGTTGCCCATTTCCTGCCTTAGTTTCCCTCTGTCGCCTCTTACGATACCCATGAAAAGATATAGGGTAGTGGATATTTTTACAACGTCACTGCACGGGGTAAATATACTTTATGAAAGATTAACTACATTGATTTATACTTTTCCATTTAACTGAGAATTAAGAGCAATAAGAAATAAGAAATATTTATTCAGTTTAAAAAGAAAACAGATACTGACTTAGTTACTGTTATGTTACATAATATTTTATAAGTCTTATATTTTTTTTATAATTTCAAACAGAATCACTGGCCTCCACACTAGGATTCCCTGTGTCGTTGAGATCAGTCTTTCCATTTATCTAGAACATGACTCACACATCACTTATGATTGCCCGATGTTACATACGAGTGGATTTCTCACATACATAATTTGTAACACAAAAATTCTTCTGAACAAAAATTCTGAAGATAAAAAAGATTTGACATAAGGATAAACAAACGCATATTTATGTGTTAGGTGTAAACTTTTATGTTATATTTAACATTGGTTACACACAATGTTTATGTCGTTCTTACCATTTTCTCTAAAATTTTCATTAATTTAATTATATTTTTACATTTAAAATAGGTAAAATCTTTATTTTTACAGGCAGGAGAAAAAGTATTTCTCAGTCGATTTGCCAGCAACTAGTGATGCAGAATCAGTAAGCAGCATTGTTATACCCCAAAGAAAACTTTTTGCACAAAAAGATAGTCAAACTGTGAAATTTGAACAAATAATGGTCAATAGAGAAAGCCTGGCACAACTACATCGAAGCAAAATTAATTATGATAAAACTATTAATGATCGTAAAAAAGATTCATTTAACAGGAGTGCAAAGGAACCCAGTAAACCTGTATTTCCTGCAAAAATTGCAAATCAGGGCCAGTCACGAAAACTCATAGGAAACCGAGCAGGCGCTAAACGCAAGAATATATTTACTGAATTTTTTGTATCAGAAAGCGAAGATGAAATTTCTATTATTAAACAAAAATTTTTTGGATCTTCCAAAAACAATAAACACCAGAAACAAAAAAATTCAGCCCCACGTAAACTTCGAAAATGTTCTCGAAGTTCTGAACCAAATGAAATGGCATCATTTTTGCCAAAAGGACGCAACACTAGCGTAAGAAAAACTAAAATCATCATTAAACCACAAATCAACTTCAAACCAAGTCTTGCAAAGGAACGCAGCAAACCTGTATTTCCTGCAAAAATTGCAAATCAGGGCCAGGCACGAAAACTTACTGAATTTATTATATCAGAAAGCGAAGATGAAATTTCTATTATTAAACAAAAATTTTTTGGATCCTCCAAAAACAATAAACACCAGCAACGAAAAAATTCAACCCCACGTGAATTTCGAGAAACTACTTCTGATGATATAAGTGATATGGATATGGATGAATGGAAACTTTTACCATCATCTACAATGGTTGATATCCAACTTGATAATATTGAAGAATGTACTACCTCCGAGAAAATGGATAAAGGTGAAATAGATTTAGCCAAAAACGTAGTTGTACAAAAACACACTAGGAGTAATGATAATAATAGTAGCAAGAATTTTTCTTTTGAATCCCCAGAATACGCTCTACATCATGTACCAAATAAAATGGCATCATTTTCGCCAAACGGAAGCAATACTAGCATAAGAAAAACTAAAAGCGTCATCAAATCTCAAATAAACAGCAACGCAAGTCTTGAGCCACTTACAGAAAGTACAGGAAGTTCCGATGAGGGATCCAAAAATTCAAGTGCAGAAACATCAGATTGGGACTTCCATACTGCAAGAAAGACTCTTCGTCAAACATCTGGTAAAGATTTTTCACCAATGAAATCTTTGCGTACACTCGTTAGGGAAAAGTCGGCGAAGAGACGAACCTATGGGCACGATATGACTTTTAAAGTTCCTCAAGCTTGCTGTTCTAAATTTCATGAAAACATGGATGTGTACATATCTGAAGATGATGGTAACGGTGAAAGAAATGGCATTAATGAAGAAATCAATGAAGATATTCCACAACAGTCATCCGATATGCCCAATGACACCACTGATGAATCGGATGATCCGATATGCCCCATGACACAAGCACAACTGACGAATGAAATCTCTACAACGAGGAGACAAGCTGATTTGTTAAAGTTTTTCCAGAAGACGAAAGAAGAAAATATGGAGGAGATACGCCACGTAGTGAGTATATTTGCTACAGTCATACAAAACCTTAAGCTTTTAAAAGCCCACTGCTGGACATGAACTTATGTTATAGGAGGGATTCAATATAATTGCCACGTATGGCTAACGGCCTGCAGTACCGTCTTGTATTTCGCATCTTTGCCTGTTTCTTCTATCTTAGATGAATTTAAGCATTTTACGTCCTATATGAGATGAAATGGATTCTCTTAAACCACCTCTATATACGACTGCACTGTGGTTGGGTGAATTTCAATAAATATGCTGATTTATTTTTAAAGCGCTTTTAACACCCAATATGTTAGCCTGTATAAATCTATATACGTACGAATGTAATGGATAATGTAATTCCGTTTTCATTCATTTCTAAATATCTAAGTAATCTGAAATGTTACACACATATTAAGAAATTATGTAAATACAAGGATTTCTTGACTATGACCTATGTAGTATACTCACTAGGAGTATCGCAGCTCATGATCAATGCGTGTAGTTTGAATTTGCATAAAACCCTAGTATTATATTAGCTTGAGCCGTATAAAAATCTTCTCGTCAGGTTTACCTCAAAACCTGAAAACTAAGTTGTACAACCAGTGCGTGTTACCGGTAATGACCTACGGAACCGAGACGCGTTCCTTCACTGCTGGCCGTATGAGGACGCTCAAAATCGCTCAGCGAGCTATGGAGATATGCTCGGAGTTTCTCTGCGTGATAAACTTAGAAATGAGGATATCCGCAGTAGAACTAGAGTGACCGACATAACCCAACGGATTAGTAAGCTGAAGTGGTAATGGGCAGGCCATATAGCTCGTAGTGGCGGCCTCGTACCGGTAGGTGAAGTGTAGATGTGTGGATGGAGTGACGACCTGGTAAGACATGCAGGAAGTCGATGGATGCAGGTGACTCAGGACCGTGCTTTGTGGCATACCTTGGGCGAGGCCTATGTTCAGCAGTGGACTTGTGAAGGGCTGTAATGATGATGATGATGATGAGCTGTATAAATGAATGTAATGAAATGTTATAATTCTTATACGTTTTCACTTACTTCTTAACATCTGAATTATCTGAAAGTTTGCAGATATATTAATATATATTAAAGATCAACGACAATACAGTAATCACACGACTATGACATAGGTCTTCCCCACAGATCATTGGGGGGATATATCACGAAGACGCTTATCTTTATTTCCCTCAATCGGCCCTTACGACACCTACAGTACGATATGACGTAGTGTGTTACACTGCAAAAACACAATTAAATATCAAACAATATTATTTATTTACAATTTATATTTATCAAACATTACTCTATTTTGATTTCTTATATTTACGCGAACACTTACGTTTAATTTTAAATGATTTAAAATTCCCGACGTTTCGCCTGCTTTCCAGCTATTATATATATATATATATATATTATACTCTATTGTTTCAGGAGGAAGCAGTGGAGAATTCCCTTAAAGCAACGAGAAATGAATCCTGTGATAGGTTCCAAACGCCAGCCAGGCCAAATGCAGCTCTGCGTCGGATCAATATGAAAACTGGACAAACAAAATCAAAAGTTAAACGAGTTAAATCTACTTTGATTCCAATTGAAAATCTACCCGCAGAAGTATTGGAAGACATGAAGTACAAACCCACTCGGAGATATCAACTGTGTAACGCCTCTTGGGCTACACAGAGGCTATATAAGTTTCTGGAGGCTAAATTGGAGCCCAAGTGAGTATTAAAAATAATAATTGGAAGCAGTTGGACATAGGATGGGAAGGATTCATTTTTTTAAATAAATATTAATTGAATACTTTACTTTTTGTAAATTTTAACTGGTGCCCAAAAATCACCGTATGTGAAATTTATAAGATATTGCACAATGTCTTCCCATTGTTCTGCTTGTTTTGAAGTGTTGTTTTGAATTGTTGTGAAGTAAATACGACACATCGTGCATTGAATTAATATTTTTTCTTTGTTTCTTTTCTCTCCATTTAATTAAAAACAACACTTAGATTATTGATAGAATCAGGTGTTACTTTGCGGAAATCCATTATAATTCTCCTTAAGGTGCCGTCTCCTTGAGAAGGTTGGCAATTATTAGGGCGATTTCAACTTTTGAGACCGCTGCTCTAAACAGTGATCTTGTGCTCTTCCCGAACCACTGGCGCAAGTTCTTCAGCCACGATATCTTTCTGCGGCCAGGCCTCCTTCTGCCTACCACTTTCCCCTGAATGATAAGTTGAAGGAGTTCATACTTTTTGGTGTTACGCTTCACGTGCCCAAAATATTCCAATTTCCTCCTCTTTACGGTTGTAAGTATCTCTGTGACCTTGCCCATTTTTGTAGCACGGTGTTGTTTCGTACGCGGTCTCTCCAAGAAATTCTTAGCATACGTCTGTACACCCACATCTCAAACTGTTTTTAAAAATATTAATTATTTCGCAACCTTCCGCTAACTAAATACAATGATGAGTCTTACCTGGATTGAAGAGCACCTCCCGCCCTCCTTCAATTGTATGCACTAACTCCGTCACCACTAGTCCCAGTACCACTACTCCCGGCACCACTACTTCACAACAATGGTTGAACCATGAGGTTTTTAATTCATTTAAGGTTGAAAGAGCTGGAGACCCAGCCCTAATATTTCTTTGAACTCGTCTCTGATGTGTTCAATTAGGTTCAAATTAGGCGCTCTAGCTTGTCCAAGTTGCGAGTTTCGACCTTTAAGAGAACATCCCGAACAATCACAGTGCATGTGGCTTGGTGTAGCGACAAATAATTGAGCAGTCAAACCACCTTTTTTGATTCTGTCATTTATGAAAGCCAAGTACCGGTTTTCGCGTTCATCGAAATGCTTGTAACCACTATGGAAACTTCCAAATACCACTGTCTTAGCAACGCAGGACAAGTTTCACCCAAAACCGGGCGTTTTACCCACATTATTTCCATTAAAACCATGTGGATCGGAGAACAAAATAGCTTACAGCAATTGAGCTTCCATTGCTGCTAAACTTCTATCGACATATTCACGTGCAAATTTAAACTTGTAAATTTTTGCTTCCTGGTGTTGTTGAAGGCAATTGGCTACTGCAAATCTCCAAAAACTGACAATTCGATTGTGTATACACACTTCACCATGAAGGTCACCTTGAAGATTACGATTTCGTACTTCACGCGAGGCCTAGATATGATACTGTGATCTTGCCAAGTATGAAGATTATGGCAAACACTCTCAATCTACATCTCCACAATCTTTACAAAGGAAAAAGGAGGAAAACCCTAATAACCCATCTGTGTACTTTTATCGACTGGTAAATGAGCATCGAAATTGAAAGAACAGCTTTGACCCTCTAATTGTGAAGAGATACGGTCAGCGCAGACCTAAACATAAATTTATATTGAGAAAAATTCCTAGTGTTACCAGCCACTTTCACATTACATTACATTTTAACTTTCAGTAGATTATTCAGTGACGAATTTTAGACGTACATATTAGGCATAACATAATGGTTGAATGTTCTTCTAATATGTTAGTTTATGTTTAACTTCAAGTACATTGAACTTTTTGTCGTCCAGCGACCACACAAGAGATACTCATGTCCTAAAAATGGACTATGCGAGCATGTGAAGATTATATAGTATATTAGTTTCTAACTGCTTACGACACATTCTAGAGTGCGAGAAGCCTGGTTCAAAATGTACAAACATCTTACAAAGAACCTCAGAAAGTTTTATTGGTCTAAGCAGAGAACGAAATGTTACTTAGTTAATGTTACATATATATATATATAATATGTGTATGTGAATATATTTTAGATACGACTACAAAGCCCGCGTTCGAGCTGAAAAACTGGTGAAGACAATTTACAATTTCACCAAATACACTCGTCGTCACAAAGTAGCGCCTACAGATGCCGTAAATGTTTTGAAATTGGAGATGGCCAAATTGAAAATAGTGAAAACTCACCACGAGTTCTACGACTTCTTCGACGAGTTCATGCCACGAAAGATCCGCATAAAGGTCAGTATAATAATAATAAAAATAATGTCTCCAGACCGAATTTTGGTCACGGCGGCCTGTCTCAAGCACATGTGCACTTTTTATTACGTCACTCCCATAGTCAGTCATCATGGCTTTATGTGGTAGAGCTACTCTGCAGCTATATTATGGTTGTAGCATAAATGAGTCAGCTTGACCGGGGTAGGATCACACTTTCACAGAATACCAGCGTAAAATAGCAGCTTAATGCTGCTGTGTTTCGTATGGTGAATGTAGATGTAGATCTGGAGACCCTCTTTACTTGAATCAAGGCATCCATCTTAGTCCTCAGGGATTAATTATATCCTTAATTGAGGATACATGTAGATGTTTATGGGCTACATCATCCACTTACCATCAGGTAGACTGTGTGCTTGTTTGTCACCCTTATTTTATAAAAAAAAAGATTGGACGGCAAGCCGACATGATCGGAGTGAGACGAACGGCTTTATGTGCTTTTTGCGGCATGAGGATGAAACGGCGCCAACTTCCGGACTTCGAGCTAGAACTGAGAACTTCTTGACAGAAAAACTCAATAACTGATTTTCGTTAGCCTGATCCACGATTCGAACCCAAGACCTCATGTTCAGTAGTCGCGTGTACGATCACTAGACCAACGGATCATTCAGTAGGTAAAAGGTGAGTATAGAAAAGAATTATTTTTATTCAATATAGATTACAACAATATTTGTCGAAAGTTATTTAAGTTATACCACAGGTACAGAATAATTATTTGTTCTAGGAAAAACTTAAGTTACAATATTAAGTATGTGTTATACAATTACGTATGAAAACATTTAGAAACGGCATGGTAGAAATCACCTCATTCCCAGGGGTTATTATCAATGGTGTGTACTCTTTAGTAGTATAATAATAACCCTTACTAAACAATTTTTGCTTGATAAAATGGGATTGTGGTCAATAAAGAATGCACTGTATTATTATAAATTATTATAAAAAGTAAAAAATAAAAACATGCGTGCAGCTCACACGTGACAGAATTGAAACCTTCAAATGAAATGAAATATAAAATATAAATACTTTACGGCAAATATTGTAATTTAAACTACAAGTATGGCATAAAATATAAGACAATTTAATTTTATAGTAAATAAATGTAACAATCCTTTTAATATATATATATATATATATATATATATATATATATATATATATATATATGTATATATATATATATATATATATATATATATATATATAAAGTTATAATAGCGCTACTACTTCATTCTATAGGTAGTCACTTTATCGAATAGATTATGAAAAGTGAACCGTATCTACAGATGAGAAACGCACGAAGCTACCTACTACCGGTTTTGATGGTTCTTTTTTTATTCAAATTGGACTCATTTATTTTATTACTTATTTTATTTAAATGACATCTTTTAATCAGACCATGTTTAAAATATCGAAAGAAGTCTTCGACATTGTTAACGTACTTTTAAAAGTACTGGACAGCCACTAATTAACTTACTTACTAACACTACTTTACTCTGAATTAATCAGAATGTTTATACTCCTTTCAATATACCTTATATGGTACTCACTAATTACAAAAAGATTTATATTAGTACCAAGTTGAGGTTTTGGCCGTTGCTCATTACTTGTTTATTCCATAAGCACACGACACCTTCGTAAATTGTTGAAAGAAACGCGTAAGCGACGCCGCTTCGGCGGTGTTTACGACTTTTTTCTCGGGAGCATTGAGCTATAATGCTTCTTATCTCATTTTTTTCCCACGTTACATCTTATGAATTTATTTGTCTGTCTCTTTCTACTGTCGCTTTTTCGTTTCGTAGACTTTCAAATCACAAAGATGCTAAAAAGTTTTCACTTCAAAAAAATTCTAAAATCTTTATTTTAAATTTTATACATAACTGATCGTGTAGTGACGGTGTAAGAGTATCCGCTACCCCATATCATCCTGTGGGTGTAAGAGGTGACAGAGTGAAACAAATCAGTGGATGGGCAGCAGCGTCTGACTAATATTGACAAAAATAAAACAACAGCGACTGCCAACCCGCTTACCAAGCGTGCCAACTATGAAAAATATCCTCTATGAGACGAACTATGGGGCGGCATATGTTAAGAAGTGGACTTTATTGGGCTGTAACGGTAACATAAGTAATAACGACACTGTTTCACATTGTCGGTCAACCCAGAATCCTCGCAAAAGGTAATCAGAATTTTACCATTACCATGACAGCTAGCAGTGACAAAGCTGCATTGGTCTGCGTCTGGTACGTCTGGTGGTCACTGCTAGCACTGCGATCCTCAGTCCGCCAGCCAAGCGTCACTATTAAGGCAATATCCTCCCTACTACGTAAGAGGTCCACGTCCAGCAGCGGACTTTTAAAGACTGATAAAGATTAATTAAGGAATTGTTGACAGCAACAAAGGAGAAAATTTGTGACGCAATGTTTTAGGAACTTTTGCACTTTTCTGTGAAAGTTCCAAACTGAATACTTGCTTGTACAAGTAGTAGGGTAAGTTTATTACAAAAGGAGGCAGCATCTGTTCTAAATTAGGTGATGGTGCTCCTTTTAATTCTAGGAGTTCACCTGGATATCCATATATAACTGCTGCTGTAAAACTCAACACTTTTTTCATTAAAGTCGTCACAGAAATCTGTTGGAGAGTGTAACTTAAATGATAATGTTGTTTGCCCATGCACTTTACAATCCCGTGACGTTCAATCATCATCGTCGCCATTATAGCCATTCACAAGTCTCCCGCTAAACATAGGCCTCCCCAAACGAATGCCCTGCCATGCCACCTGCCTCCATGAACTTCCTGCATGTCTTACCAGATCGTCACTCCATCCAGCGGGAGGCCGCTGTAATTTCGCCTACCGGTATGAGCTTGTCACTCGAGAACCATAAATCTCCATCGGTGGCTATGGGCCGGCTAATAGCCGTATAAAATAATAGACATGTCGATCTGAGATCGATTAATCGAAGAATCGAGTTCTCGTTCCAAAAAGAACGATTTTTTAAATCGATATATAATAAGTACTGAATCGATTCTATTTGAATCGATATTTCACCCTAGAAAATTACGATTCGATTTTTTCTATTTTGAAAAGAACTAAAAGTATTTAAAATTAGTTGTATGTACCCAAATACTTAAAAAATTATACAGTTTTTCATTTAATTATATATAATATAATAATATTAATAGAATAGACTAGAAACGATAATAATAATTATATTAATTATAAACTTGCGAGATGGCTGTGTGCTCAGTTTCTAATCTATCTATATAAATAAAAATCAATTGCTGTTCGATAGTCTCGCTAAAACTCGAGAATGGCTGAACAGATTTGGCTAATTTTGGTCTTGAAAATATTTGTGGATGTTCAGGGAAGGTTTAAACGCTGAGAAACATAAATAACAAGAAACAGAAAATACTAAAAACGACAATTTAGTTTTCAATACAAAATGTTCCTAGCTGTGAAATGAGGTCCGATCTCTTTGGTCTGTTCCTAGCTGTAAAGTAAGTGATAATGATGTAGATATGCTTAGAATGCAACGAGTTCGTGCACATCAAACAACAACAGCGAGCAAGACATAATGAAATTGAGCGATTCCGCAGACGCAGTGCTCCTGTGATTCTGGAACGAACTGCATTCCACTATGATCCGGCAATAGATTATTGTACCGAAAAATCGGTAACAATTGGGGAAATGACAATAATTTTTAGATATTGTAAGGCCTTAAATTACTGTCACAAATCTATTGGATTATGTTGTGCTGGAGGCAAAGTAAAATTGCCACAATTGGTCCCACAACCAGATGCTTTACGCTCTTTAGTTTTTGGGTTTGGAAATGATTCTAAGCACTTCTTGGCCAACATTCATAAATATAACAGGTGTTTCCAGATGACATCGTTTGGCGCTACACATATTATACAGAACAATTTGCCATAATATTTTTTTATAATATTTAAGTTTGTATTAAAATATATCTTATAAATAATTATTGGATAAATCATAAAGATATTAATATTTACGTTGCAACCATCCGCTCAATTAAATACAATGATGTGTCTTTCAGCCTATAGAGGGCGGGAGGTGCTCTTCAATATAGGTAAGACACATCATTGTATCACAGAATAAATAATAGTACTACGTACAGAAGTTGCACTCCTTTGATGTCGACTGCTTACCGACGTTTAATAGCCTACATTATTATTATTAATCAGATAAATCGCACACGCAAGCTAAATAAAACTTTATCGCTGCGCGCTAGTGTCCATATTATTTTGCATATTTTTTGTCACGGCGGACTTTCCGTGGTTATTAAGGGATGTCAATAGAAAGTAAAAAAATACATTGCGAAATGTTAATTATGTTACTTAGGTGAAGTACTAACTAATATTCTAACTATGATTGAACCATACTTTCGCCCACATGTGAGTTCTGCGATGCCTAACGCATACAAATTGCAAGGTCATTCGTCTGGAATCGTAACGCTTGGGAGAAATAAGTAGATAGTGTAAACAAAAAATAAACCTGAAATACAATTTCTAACAGAAATGTGATCTATTATATTTAGTTAAAAATCTTGTTAGTATACAAAGTTTTAATTTCAGTATTTTGTGTTATTATAACACAAAATATTTTAATTACAAAAGACAAGTATAGGTACGTAAGTAAATAATTGGATAGTGAAGTAAATTTTAACTAATTGTTGTAATGAAGTACTTAGGTATTTCTTCTGTAGACCAAATTATTACTTAATCCTTTTTTGATGTGAGTACCTATCTAACAAAAAAATTAAGTAAATTTTTTAACCTTTCATAACTTCCTTCTAAAATTCTTCGGTAACTTAAAGAATGATATGAAGTTGTTGGTCATTTCATTTAGTATCCATCTAAGCAACAGTTATAGTAGGAACGACGTTTTGCTATTATAATTTATCAAATATGTAATATACATAATACCTATATAATTTTTAAAATACATTAAAACTTTTACAACTATTTTTACCTACAATTAAATATACTAAACACTAAACAAAAACTATTTCAACAACTATTTACATAAAACTGTTTACGTAAACAGCGGCAAAAAACTTTAACATTCGATCGCCACCAACGCGCCAGCCCTGACTGCGTTATTTCGCCCGGGCGCGTCGCGATTTTAGGTAATTATTTCACGCAGGTCGCAAGAGTGATAGAGGTCTGATTGTATTTAATTGAGCGGATGGTTGCAACATAAATATTAATATCTTTATTATAATGGAATTCCGTAAAGTAACGCCTGATTCTATCAATTATATTGGACAGATCTTCAAAAATTACAGATACAAGGACAAATTTATCACTTACTGGGGGCGCTTTTACCACTACCAGATGCAAATCATCAATTTCCACAAATTTTTTTATGGGCAATTCAGATGCGGAAGTTGATAAGCGTTGTGCTCATAATTCAACAGTGAAGAGAACCATTGTCCAAGAATTACAAATGTTTCTTCATCAGAACAACAATTTAGTAAACATGTTCAAAATAGCATTAGATCGAATGCCATATTACAGCTATAATATTGTCATTCGAGCTGACAAAACACCTACCGGTGAACACACAAGGAGTTTTAATTCACCCACCATTGACGAAGTGGCTGTTGTCATTGTGGGAGAAAATTTAGAATCTAGAGATATTGTGCTTCATCGTTGGAATAATGATTTAAAATATGTATCTGAAACACACAGGACTTATGATGCGTTACAATAAATATCCTTTGATCTTCTGGTAGGTTGAAGATAGATACCATTTTAATATCAAAATCGTAAATCAAGTAACAGGTTTGATTAACAGATTGCACAAGATTAAATAATATTTTTAAATAAAATTCATGTAAGTAACAAATTAAAAATTTATCATTTTTGATTGCAGGTTCTAAAACCAACAAACAAGTTAGTGCTATGAATTTCATCATCAATCATATCGACATGTTTCCCCTCGAATCTGAATGATTTGTGGGTTAAGTATAGAGATGACATGTCTGAGGATGTTTTGCATCTTGTGCGCCGTCAAACTTTTAATCCTACACTACAAATGACTGCAGAAATTTACAATGAAACACTGATCATGATAGAATATATGTATTTATTGATGGCAAATAAAGTATTGCCGTGATTGGGAATGACAGCACCCAATCGTCATATGCACAATGCATTAAACCACGAGTTGCAAAGAGAACAACAGTACGACATTCGATCATTAGCCGAAATAGTTCGTACAAAATGTTCCACAACTAAACCAACCACAAAGAATTGCGTACGACACTTTGATAGGACCGGAAAAACGTTCTTAGTTTCATTGCTTTTGGCTAGGATCAGATCGCGAAATGATTTAGCTCTAGCGTTGGCTTCATTTGGAATAACTGCGACTCTGCAAGAAGGTGGGCGAACTGCACATTTTGCCTTGAAGTTACCATTAAAGATGCAAATCAACGAAACAGCAATTTAAAACATCGCCAAAAATAGCGCAATGCCCATTGCCAAGATTCTAAAGGTATGCAAATTGATTATTTGGGATGAATGCACAATGGCCCATAAGGGGTCACCGAAACAGAACGATGGACAGAACGTTGAAAGATCATCGTGACAACCAAAACATTTTTGGTGGGGCCATGATTCTGTTGTCAGGTAATTTTCGTCAGACTGTTCCAGTTATTCGCCGATCAACTGTTGCTGATGAACTAAACGCATGTCTAAAATCATCGACTTTGTGGCGGTACGTAAAGACACTCCAATTAACACCTAACAAAAATTGTTGTTGCAGATGCAGATGAAACTGCAAATGTATTTGCGAAGAAGTTGTTAAACATTGGAAATAATAAAGTCGCAGTGGACACCTCGACTGGATTCATCACATTACCAACAGATTTCTGTCACATCACAGACTCAAAAGAGGAGCTTATTCAGCGTATTTTCCCAGATATAGCGGAACAGTTCAATATAATCATAATTGGCTGGGTGAACGAGCAATATTGGCGGCGAAAAATAAAGATGTTGATGATCTCAATGCGACCATTCAAAATTTTCTTCAGGGACAGTTAGTTTCCTTCAAATCAGTCGACACTGTTAAGAACCAGGATGACGTAGTCAACCATCCCACGGAGTTTTTAAATTCACTGGAATTGCCTGGATTACCACCTCACAATTTGCAGTTAAAAGTGGGATCAGTTATCATCATGGTGCGTAACATTAATCAACCTCGACTGTGCAATGGAACAAGACTGGCTGTGAAAAAGGTGATGAATAACGTCATTGAAGCAACAATTATAAAGGAAAAATACAAGGGAGAGGATGTCTTGATCCCGCGTATACTGATGATACCAACGGATTTACCATTCGATTTTAAACGTTTACAATTTCTAGTACGTCTGGCCTTTGCGATGACCAGAAATAAGTTGCAACAAGGCCAGTCGTTGGAAGTTTGCGGAATCAACTTGGAGTTTCCCTGTTTCGTGCTTGGACAGTATAGCGTCGGAAAACCGTTATCTTTGTTTATTTACGCACCACAAAACAAAACAAAAAATATAGTTTATCAGAAAGCTTTAAATTGATTAATAGACTGTATTTTAACTGTGTGTGTATGTCAATATCAAATTGAAATCTTATAAATAGCCAGTATTACAGGAAAACTCTGGTTTGTAAGTAAGCAACATCATGTGTAATTAATTGAAAATAATAATAAAACTTCATTCATACCGAGCATTTTTTTATTATAACGGATTCCTTTTGTTTATTTAAAGTTTATTTTATACAAAAGTTTAGGTTTTTAATTTATCGATTGAGGCAGTACAAAGTCTGCCGAGTCAGCTCGTTAAGGTTATAAAAATAAGTTACATTTGTAATAAGTGTTGTTAGTTTGTTGATATTGTTAATATTAACTCGAAAATCAAATCGGAAAAAGATTGATCTATTAGACTTTTTGTGAATTGAATCGTCAGATTTCGATTAGAGATGGACCGAATATGGATTTCACCGAATACGAATATTCGGCCTAACATTATTCGGCAGGATCACCTTGGTATCTAATCAATTTACGTCGAAACTTGTTACCGTAAAGCACGTCGGATTAGCGCCCTGTCCTTCGCTCCCCCACCCCACCACAACTGACATGTTATTACAACATCTAGTACTAAGCAAATTGCCGGCACATGCTTATGTTTCGACTATTTTGGTGAAAATTGATAATTATATGATAAAAATGAGTGTCAGGTGATCTACTATTTCGACTTATTTTAGAGAAACTGACGACCAAATTAAAGTGAAACGTACGTATGTTGTTTGATCTCAAAAGTATTTTATCAAGTTTTCTATTTGCTATAATTGGAAATAAATCTACAGTGCCTCAAAAACCTAACATTTCAAGTAGATTTAGCCCATAAATAAAATATAATTTTAACAGTAAAATTATGAAAGAAATGGAATTATTCAATTCGTACATTTCAATACAGTGGATTCTGAGTACCACTTAAACGAATGTTCGGTGATGTAGCCGAATATTCGGCCAAATACGAATATTCGTTACAGCTGTCGAATATGCCGAATACCGAATATGAAACGAATATTCGGCCCATCTCTAATTTCGATTCGAATTGATTTAAAAATTGATATTTTTCAAAAAGAATCAGTCAATACTTACTCAAAAGCACTTTAATTTTGAGCGACGTGATTATTAATGGTAGGTATTTCGTGGTAAATCCCTTCATGTCGAAACATCCTCCCGCGTTGTAAGATTCTTATGTCCAGCAATAATTTATGGACTGACGATTATAATATTCTTAGGACATACTTAAACGCATATTTATAAGTATAATATTCATTGATCAACTTAATTAATGATAATATTATTTTACAGGTTGTACCTGACTTAGTGAATCAAATTCCGTTTCCTGAGCATGGTCCCTTCTCAGATATCATTCGAAAAAATGAGTGAAATAATTGTGTTATTTCTTCGTTGAAAGGAGAAAATATGAGATTGAGATTGACATAAATTATTATATATGAATTAAATTATTGTATTATGAATTAATTTTAAAGTAAGTGAATATTTTTATATAAAACTATTTCATTTATTATCTTAGTTATATTAATTGTAATTAAAACTTCATTACCTTGATTAAAACTACGTTGATGGATTTTATGGCGTTTAATTTATTTTATTTTTAATACCCGACGTTCATTTTGCGTTGAAGTCTCCCACTCCCATTATGACCGTATAGTGCATTTTGGAATAATGTATTACTCTAGAAATATCCTTATACATTTTTTCTACTTACTCATCGGGATTTGCCGAAGTTGATGCGTAAATCTGTATAACCTTCAGGGAATACCGTTTTGTGATTCTCAGTATAAGGTACGCAACCCTCGCCGACAGACTCCCAATCTTTACAACGTTGTTAACGAGAGACTTGTGGACGATAAGACCAACACCTCCTTGGGACAGATGGTGGCCCTCCAGGTGATAGAACAAGTTGCGGGATTCGAGAATCACCGAGTCTACCCCCTCTCTTCGGACCTCGGATAATCCTATAATATTCCAGCGCAAGTTATCTTTCTCTTCTTCCAGCTCCAGGACCTTCTCGTCAGTCCTCAGGGTGCGTGCATTGTAAGTTTCCAGGTCAAGATGTTTTAGGTAGCAACCGAACCTCCACTCGAGATTCTTAGCACCCCCTGCCCCGCCGTTACCATGGTCACCACCGTAGCTAGGAATAGCGGGGCCGCCGGGGACTGAAGGCCGTATATTTGCGTCGTTGCTCATCGGGAGTATATTGACATAGTTGCTATGCTTGGCGAGCGTGTTGGCAACCGCAGTTTTTTTGTTGTAGAGTTGTTACCAAGAAGATGCTGCTGCCCATCTCTCCTGCCCGTTCCCTCTGTTGCCTTTACGACACCCACGGGAAGATATGAGATAGTGGATATTCTTAGCCGCCACTACATGGCAATACGACAAATAGTCCGACTACCGACCGACCGTCAGGTATATCTCAAAACCTGAAAAAAGATTGTACAACCAGTGCGTTTTGCCAGTGATAACTTACGAATCTGAGACGTGGTTCTTCACTGCTGACCGTATGAGGACACTCAAGGTCGCTCAACGAGCTATGGAGAGGGCTATGCTCGGAGTTTCTCTGCGTGATAAACTTAGAAATGAGGATATCCGCAGTAGAACCAGAGTGACCGACAGCCCAACCGATTAGTAAGTTGAAGTGGCAAAGGGCCGGTCATATAGCTCGAAGAACCGACAACCGATGGGGAAAAAGGTTCTCGAGTGGCAGCCTCGTACCGGTGGCAGTGGTGTAGGGCGACCCCCCACTGGATGGAGTGACGATCTGGTAAGACATGCAGGAAGTCGATGGATGCAAGTGGCTCAGGATCGTGCTTTGTGGCATATATTGGGGGGAGGCCTATGGTCAGCAGTGGACTTGTGGAGGACTGTAATAATGATGAACCGACGTTTCGGGTGATTTCCAGCTCGGGGGACTAAGATGACTGACGTCCCGATAACTCGGAGTATCTTCAGATTTTTAATTATTATTTATGGTCCGATCTACGCAGAATGAACTTACTGTGTATGGAGTGTAGAAGTAAGGAGTACCAACTCCCATAGTAGAATGGTTGAAAAAGTGGCCATCTGTAATCAGTAGTAAATAACAGTTCAAAAACTCTCCACAACAGCGCTGGAGTACCTACTGGGATGAAATAAATTTAGCAGTTTTCGACGGTTTAAGTGTGCCGCTAAACAACTCAGTAGCTCTAAAATCTAAAATATTTTTATTTAGTATATATAACCTCGAAAAAGTCGTCTATCCCACTAATATTTTTCGGTGCGTTCTTTAAAATTTACCCCGAAGTTAAAGTGGCACCACCCTTACTTAACGGTTTTCTATGTACACTTTTACAGAGTCTATACTCCTTACTTCTACACTCCATATTACTGTATCTTGAAGTCTTGCAGTGGTACGCTTGGGTTTTGTTTTAATTTTATTAATTATAAAGTCCTCCTTCTCTATAGAAATAAGGATGTTTTTTAATCTCAATAGCCTCACGTATCATTCTTGGTAGGAATGGATGTTCTTTCCTGAGGATTTGTGATCTATCAAATCTGATGTGGTTGGGGCCGTCTAGATATATGAGGATATGATCACAAACTGCAACTTTCCGAAACGTTCATGCTTCACGTCAGCTATATGTTCTTTTACGCGGGTTCTAATTGATTTTTTGTTTGCCCTATATATGAGAGACCACATTCACAATCAAGCTTGTACACTCCTGCATCTTGTAGAGGAATATGACACTTGATCGATAGTAAGAACTGACTAATCTTCTTCGGCGGCTTGTAGAATGTTCTAATAGAAGTAGCCCGGTCAAATTAGAGCAGAAAATAAGAGCGAAGATATATAAATTTACAACAAGCTGATAATCGGTTAAATTGTTCAAATATAATTATAAATATAACTTTGAAGTTCTCTACCATTCCTGTGTATGAAAGTTTTTTAATTCAAGGTCGAAGGTCAAAAAAATGAGTCGCGGTTTTCGGCAAAACGCTAAGTTTTATCATAAAAATACTTCAGATAAAAGTTGTAGATGTTTCAATACTTTCTTTACTACGAGCCACCGTTTCTCAGATAATACGATTCAAAAAGTTGTAAAAGTTGTAAACATCATAATATGCATGAGTACGCCACGTAATATACATCTCTAGAGTTTTAATATATGTTAAAATATTCTTCTATCGCTCATTGTAACTTACACTTAAAATATAAAATATAAATAAGTTAGAACTGTAAGGGGCCGTCCTATTACCATCGCTCGCGCGATAATGCGTGCGTCCGACGAAAATTATCGTGCGACCGTGCGTTTAAACATACTCATATCTGCGGAATTTCTTATAAAAAGCCGTGCGATCATGCGATGCGACCGAAGTGTCTAGTTTTCCTCGTGCGATTATCGACGCATCGTATAGATCGGACGATCGTCCGATCAGACATACTAATCAGTACTAAATGTCCTAATGGCGCTGGCGCGGCCAAGAGGTGAAGGCAAGGGCGGGGTACCACAACGTGCACTCAGCTCGACCGCCTGCCATTATGGATTACTGTATATATACTAAATTACAGATGAAATCAAATGTTTCTGGTGACTTTGACAAATATTCGTAAAAATCTCCTTCGTTTTGCCGTACGTCGAAATACTGATGTTGAAATTCATCGCACTGATTTCTGTTTTTATACAGTATATTACGTATTATACGTTTTCTTTTTTAATGCTATTCACTGTTAAAGAGAGTGTGAGTGTGACTTTAAGTGCTCGACAGAAAAAACTGTGCACCTCTGTTAGGAGCCATTTCGAGAGTGATCGCATCGCTCCAAAATAGGACATACGATTTCTAATCGCGCCAGCGTATTCCTCGGACGATGAAATCGCATCGCATCATCGCGCGAGTGGTGGCAATAGGACGGCGCCTAAGAATATCAGTTAAGGCCATATTCAGATGGGCAACATTTTGACGCGCGTTTTCAAATCGCGCAACTAGACATCTTGGTATTTACATACAACCAATCATATGAGCACGCGTTAACGCGTACGCGTTAACGCGACGCTTCAGAGAAAGTTCTCAGAACGCAGGCGATCACGCGTTAACGCGCACTTTGACAGGTATGTAACGTCCGTTGACTGTTCAGTTGTCTAAATCCATCTCTGATTCGAACATAATTGTGGAGTACCGTAATTGCCTTTACAATATGTTCGGCACAATTCACAGTGTGTGGAATTCGCTAATACCATCATGTACCAAACCACCGAGGTTGTATGGATTACCATAGATACACAAACCAAACGCTCCACTACGTCCTATGGTGAGCCAGATTGATTCACCAACTTATAAGCTGGCACAACACTTAGCAAAAGTACTGTCACCACTGAGAGGACATACCAGAGCACACACAAAGGATTCATACCATTTTGTTAGTGAGATAAAAGACCTACATCTCGCTGACAATGAAACTATGGTCAGTTTTGATGTTCAGTCACTATTCACATGCCTACCTATTGAAGACTGCATATCAATTGTAACTAGGAAGCTAGAATATAATAACATACCTGCTGAATATGCAGTATTACTCAAACACTGCCTCACATCTGGCTATCTATTGTGGAAGGAGGAGTTCTACAAGCAAGTAGATGGTGTGGCGATGGGCTCACCTGTATCTCCCATAGTCGCTGACATATTCATGGAGGACTTCGAGGAGAAAGCCCTTATTACTGCTCCTGTAAATCCAAGATTCTACAAGCGGTACGTAGACGACACTTTCACAATTTTACCATCTGACAAAGTAACTGCATTTTTAAACCACCTTAACTCTATAAACTCTAAAATACAATTCACAATGGAGTTAGAGGCAAATAATTCTTTAGCTTTCTTAGATGTTTTAGTCATTCGAAATCCTAATAACACAATTGGTCACACTGTGTATAGAAAAAAGACCCATACCAACCGATATTTAAATGGTGAATCTCACCATCATCCTTCACAGTTGGCTACCGTGGGTAAATCTTTGTTTCAGAGAGCACGAGGGATCTGTGACAGAAAACATCTGGCCGCCGAACTTCAGCACGTCAAGCAAGTATTGCAAGACAAGCTTCGGGTCCCGCGCCTACGTCACAGTGACCGAGTGAAGCCGGCCACAGTCGAGCGTGTACCTGCTGTACTACCATATGTCAGAGGAGTCACAGACAAGGTTGGCTACATCTTGAAGCGAGCTTCTATTAAAACATACTACAAGCCGCCGAAGAAGATTAGTCAATTTTTACCATCCGTCAAGTGTAATATCCCTCTACAAGATGCAGGAGTGTACAAGTTAGATTGTGAATGTGGTCTCTCTTACATAGGTCAAACAAAAAGATCCATAAAAACCAAGCATAATGAGGGGAAGT